AAGCGATTCTCCTGCCTCAGACTCCTGAGTAGCTGGGATTACAAACACCCAACACCACATCAGCTAATTTTTGTATTTTCATTAGAGACAGGGTTTCACTGTGTTGGCCAGGCTGGTCTCAAACTACTGACCTCAGGTGATCCACCTACCTTGGCCTCCCAAAGTACTGGGATTACAGGCATAAGCCACTGCACCCAGCCAAAAGGCACATCTTACATGGTGGCAGCAAGAGAAAATGAGGAGGAAGCAAAAGCAGAAACCCCTGATAAACCCATCAGATCTTGTGAGACTTATACAGTATCACAGGAACAGCACAGGAAAGACTAGCCCCCGTGATTCAATTACCTGCCCTACACACACAGGTCCCTTTCTGGGAGATACAGTTCAAGTTGAGATTTGAGTGAGAACACAGCCAAACCATATCATACCTTTCCCCTAGGAAATGATGTTTTAACCCAAAGGAGGGCTGTTTGAGTGCTTGATGTTGCCAGTTACCAGGAAATAAATTTAGAGAGTTCTAAGCCATGATAAAGATCTGCAGATCTTAGGTGCAGACTTAAAAGGACAGTATTATTTTATTGTTTCCAAAGATTATGTGAGCCATTTTTAAAAGTATCTTTAGGGAACTTTCTTAATAATCCAGAAATATTTGGTTGGCTAAAGAGCTACATGTAAACGTAGCATATGCATCCTTCAGCTCTCTAAGGTTTCTCATATTTATAGCAGACACCTGTGCCTTGGAGAATCCATGTGTAAGTCAGCCCCATGGCTTTGCTTAATAATGATAAAGTGAAGGCATCAGCATAATTGAAGTGCCAGCTTCACTCTCATTTTCATCCCCATGAGGGAGAATTTATTTAACTAAATGTGCTTTTCTGATGTAAGAGTAAAGAATTCTTAGAAAGTTGAGGGCTTTGTGGAAAATGATTTGTATGTACACATTAGCCTTACAGAGTGGTTCTAGATTGTAAAGTGAGCTTCAAAAGTAGCCAATTTTTAGAATTCAGGAAAGTGACAGCAATATAACTCAGCGCCTACAATTGCCACCTGCATGCGATACTTTGTGATTAGAATGCAGACATTTGGGCTTCTGCATTGAATCCACTTCATAGACAGGGGAAAGTTACTCTCCTATGGCAGATGCCCACTTGTGGGGAAGGAAAACCCCTTTTGATTTTCTATGTAAAGGAACCTCCTGCTGGAAAGTATCTTGTCTGATGGTTTAGTTTGCAGTATCATTTGTGATACTGACGAGTGACAAGCTTGTTACTGTCACTGGAAGTGCTCTCAGCTCAGGATATCTCCATCACTACTGTATTTCATTCAGGATAGTAGATCACATCTTTTCCTCTACCTTTGACCACAGTGTTATTTGAAATGTTATTCTCATCCATGAGTTGTTTAAACATGGTTATTAGTCTGTCTTTTTTTTTTTTTTTTTGAGACAGAGTTTCACTCTTGTTACCCAGGCTGGAGTGCAATGGCGCGATCTCGGCTCACTGCAACCTCCGCCTCCCGGGTTCAGGCAATTCTCCTGCCTCAGCCTCCCGAGCAGCTGGGACTACAGGCACGTGCCACCATGCCCAGCTAATTTTTTTTTTGTATTTTTAGTAGAGACGGGGTTTCACCATGTTGACCAGGATGGTCTCGATCTCTTGACCTCGTGATCCACCCGCCTCGGCCTCCCAAAGTGCTGGGATTACAGGCTTGAGCCACCGCTCCCGGCCTATTAGTCTGTCTTTTCCTGTGAAGTGTTGTAGATGTCTGACAAGTGGATCATTATGTACAATTAATAACGCTTGGACTGTTGTGTTTTCAGGCTGAGGTTGATAAAAACATAGAACTTTTGAAAAAGAAGGATGAAGAACTCAGTTCGGCTCTGGAGAAAATGGAAAATCAGTCTGAAAACAATGATATCGATGAAGTTATCATTCCCACAGCTCCCTTATACAAACAGATCCTGAATCTGTATGCAGAGGAAAACGCTATTGAAGACACCATCTTTTACTTGGGAGAAGCTTTGAGGAGGGGAGTGATAGACCTGGATGTCTTCCTGAAGGTATGTCTTCATTTTACTTTGCAATATTTAACTTGGGTTGTAGAGGCACTGATCTTGCAAATCACAAACTAAGAGTTTCTCTGTAGTGTGGATTAAGATTCTGTATCTTCCCAAAAGACAGTAAATGAGATGTAGGGTTTTTCACCATCTTTTTACCTACAGAGTACTGAGGATTGGTCTGACCAGGGGAAGAAAAGTAGGCTAGTGGCTGCAGTTCTGTACCCACCAGGCAGCAGCATTAAGATGAGTGTAATTGGCCAGGCATGGTGGCTCACGCCTATAATCCCAGCACTTTGGGAGGCTGAGATGGGCAGATCTCCTGAGGTCAGGAGTTTGAGACCAGCATGGCAAAGCCCCGTCTCTACTAAAAATATAAAAATTAGCCAGGTGTGGTGGTGGGCACCTGTAATCCCAACTACTCTGGAGGCTGAGGCAGGTGAATCACTTGAACCTGAGAAGCGGAGATTGCAGTGAGCTGAGATTGCATCATTGCACTCCAGCCTGGGTGACAGAGCAAGACTGTCTCAAAAAAAAAATGAGTGTAATTATTCTGTGCCTGGGTGGATCAGGAGGCACGATCAGATTTCCATTGGTTTTTTGAGGTCATACCACCTAAATTGAGATCACCGATTGTGCCACTTACATTTTTATCTGTTAATTTTCTTAGTTATATAACTTTAGACCAGTTTTCCCACATCAAACGGCCCTTCGCAGTATTGGGCTGCCCTTTCAAGCCCTCTTGAATGAAAGTTGCCTCAAGTTTAATGCTGTTGTACAGAAGAAAACCTAGGAAGCCAAGTTTGGCTACTGCTGTCTCTTTGGTCATGGAGAACGTGGTTTTAGGGATAATAACAGCCACCCTTGGGATATTTGATCCAGCTGCAGCTGGAGCCTGGTCAGGTCATGTGCTGATCTTGCCTGTCTCCTCTCACTGTGGAGGAATGGCCAAACTATGTGCCTCAGAACTGGTGCAACCATATGAATGGTTGGATACAAATCAGAAACCCAAAAGAGGACTTTCTGTGCAATCTCTTGCATAGGTGGCGTGGCTTAGGAAAAGATGTACACAGAGAGGCAAGAGAGAGATGCTGTCTGCTTGCCACCAGACTAGGGAGAAAAGCCAACCCTAATGCTTCTCAAAGGTTTGCCCTTTCCCTTCTTTTAGCCAAGTGGGGCCAGCCATACTTACCCACATTTTTTGGTAACTTTTATTAGCATCACAGTACAAGTTTCCCTGGCATATTGGTTGTCTCAAAGTGTAGGTCAAACTCCTGAGCCATAATCCTTCAATGTAATGCTTTCCCTGTTGAGTAAGCCTTTATTATATAAAGTTTAAAAGCCACACGTAATGAGGTATTCATTCCAAAGGTTGACAGGTCATGAGTTAGGGTTCTTAGATCCCATCTAGGTTACAAATTGTCTGATACTTTATGCTTGGGCCTGAATCAAAGCCATTCTAAACTATTGAAACTTTTTCCCCCTCCCAGCATGTACGTCTTCTGTCCCGTAAACAGTTCCAGCTGAGGGCATTAATGCAAAAAGCAAGAAAGACTGCCGGTCTCAGTGACCTCTACTGACTTCTCTGATACCAGCTGGAGGTCGAGCTCTTCTTTCTTCTCTTCCTTTCTCTTATCAGTAGGTGCCCAGAATAAGTTATTGCAGTTTATCATTCAAGTGTAAAATATTTTGAATCAATAATATATTTTCTGTTTTCTTTGGTAAAGACTGGCTTTTATTAATGCACTTTCTATCCTCTGTAAACTTTTTGTGCTGAATGTTGGGACTGCTAAATAAAATTTGTTGCATAATTTTTCTCTCCTTTATTGCACTTTAGGAAAGATCCATGAAACCTTAATAAGCCCAACTTTTCATTTAGCAAACAGCATAAAATCCATCTTAAAATTATTCTACAGCATATAAAGTGAATATGGGGAATATACCAAATAGAAATCTAAATTTTGAAATATTTGAAATTGAAGGGTTTGAGTAACTTATCTGTGAAAGTTCCAAGGGTAATACTCCACCAACTCTAAGTTTGTTTCCTTTCTAGGCCTCACTGAACCATAACTTTTCATCAAAAAGGAACAGAGTGACAGATCCAAACTATATACCTGATAACTTTAACTAGGATTAAAGGGAAAGACCCAGTGTACCATTACCTCCCTGCTTTTGTCATTTAAAGTTTAGTCTTCATGGTGATTCTGTAGCCAAGTTTGCAACCACCCACTGAACTATATAGCTGCTGTATGTCCTGCAGTGCTCATCTAGAACAGAATGTTCTCCATCAAAATGAGAGTGCTAGAAGGTTCATGAGGTTACAAAGAAAAGAGGAAAAAAAGTGTGTTTCTATCTGGGATGTTAATTAGGCAGCCCACTCTACTCCCAAGAGAAGAATGACCAATTTGTTGTCACCAAGGCGTTTACAGCTTAAGATCTTTTCTGGAAAAATTAAAATGCACTCATAAAAGTTATCAGAATAAAAACCAGCAAGGTCAAATCAAGATTTTATCTAGTGTTAGGAACATTGAGATTACTTTGTGTGTGTGTGTGTATACTTTTATTTTTACATTGTAGAGAAAGTTACAGCTTTTATTAAGTAGCATATAAATGGACATAGGTATTAAGCCATTCTAAGAAGAATTACTATCACCTGATGAATCAGGATTTCTATAACACAGTAAACACATTATTTTGGACCAGATGGCAATTATATATACAGACAGGGCAAGTACTGAGAGATACCAAAAACATCTTTCATGCCATCACTTAAAGTGTCATCCATTATCTGGATACTAAAAGAGCTAAGGCCAGGCCCAGTGGCTCACCCCTGTAATCACAGCACTTTGGAAGTTCAAACCAGCGTGGACAACATGGCAAAACCCCATCTCTACAAAAAAAAAAAAATTAGCTAGGGATAGAGGCAGATGCATGTGGTCCCACCTACTCTGGAGGCTGAGGTGGGAGGCTCACCTGAGCTTGGGAGGTTGAGGTTGTGGTGCGCTGTGATAGTGCCACTCCAGCCTGGGTGACAGAATTAGACCCAAAAAAAAGAAAAAAGCTGGAAGGCTACACTAAATAGATCACTTTCCTCTATTTTTCCAACTTTTAGAATTCAAATTTATTTGAAAGTTTGACATATACAATTCCATAACGACTATTTCATCTTCAATCTACAGAATGGTAGCTTTAAGCAACTTTAAAGCTTGAGCTCCTTCTGAATTTCCCAAAGTATTTCTGCACTCTTTTGCAAGCAGGCCTCCTCTTCAAGTGTCAGTTTTACTTTTATAAGGTCTGCGATACCATTCTCTCCCAGGATACATGGGACACTAAGGAATATTTCTTCACTTATTCCATAGAAGCCCTGAAAGTAAAGACCTAAAATTATTTTTATTTTAACTTTTAACAAAGGTCTGCAGTATGAAAAGCAACAGTTGCAAGGTGGATGGGTAACAGATGGGTAGTATGAACTGGCACAGTACCAAGACAATAATTTAAAACATGATTAGACATATTTATTGTTCAGTTTCATCCACCATCTCTCCGCATAGGCCCCCGCTTCCTGCCATGTTTGCTGGGGCCCACCCTTCTTTCCTCATCTCCTTACCCCATACCACTTCCTGTCAGGGGACCACTTCAAAATTCCTATGATCTTATTTCCAATGATTTACATCTGTTTTGTTTTATAACCTCTCCCACTGAGACTACCAGAGGGCTCTTACCCATGCCCCAACTCCCCTTTCCCCAGGAGACTAACTGCTAATTGTTTTGTGTTTAGTGCTGCTTTCCTAGAGCTCTTCATTGGACATAATTGAAACTGTAAGAACAACTCCAAAGGTACCAAGGCCTGCTCACAATGGTTCCCAGTGTTTCTAGATACTGGTAGAGTCAGTTCACTCAGTTAATAAAGATGCAAAAACACTTACTTTTATCTAATAAATGTAATAAGAAATGTCACACTAGACCAGGACAAAGGTCTACAAAGATAGGTTCTTTCCACAGTCTCCCCTGCTCTTCAGCAGCAAAGAACAGACATCAGTAAGAGAGGTGCTTCCACGAGATCAAACTCAAAACTAGAGCCCCTCAAAAATGTTCTTTACCCCTATTTTATGTTGAAGTTAATGATTTTTCAAACATGAATGTCCTACCTTACTTAGGGTAGAAACTGGATGCACTCTCCTAAGATTCTTCAAAATACTTTCTGTTAAATCAGCAACAGATAGGCTAATGCCCCAAGAAGTATAACCTTTCATTTTGAGCATCTCATAGCCACTGTAGTTAGAAGAAACCGTAAATGTAAGAAGTTAGTTTAGAAGAAACACTTGTCATTGAACTTCTATTTTGCAGCAACCTATCTGACAGTGCCATAAAACTGTAATGACTCCATCATCAATTTCTCCTAGAAATTTCTTGTAGTATGTTTTTTTTTTTTTTTTTTTTTTAAAGTCTTGCTCTGTCACTCAGGTTAGAGTGCAATGGTGCAACCTTGGCTCACTGCAACCTGTACCTCCTGGGTTTAAGTGATCTTCCCGCCTCAGCCTTCCAAGTAGCTGGGATTACAAGCGTGCACCACCATGCATGGCTAATTTTTGTATTTTTAGTAGAGATGGATTTTCACCATGTTGGCCAGGCTGGTCTCGAACTCCTGACCTCAAGTGATCTGCCCACCCTGGTCTCCCAAATTGCTGGGATTACAGGCATAAGCCACCATGCCTGACTGTATGTATGCATTTTTGAGGGAGGGTCTCAGCTGGAGTGTAGTGGCGCAAACAGGGATTGCTGCAGCCTCAACCTTCTGGGCTCAAGCAGGCCACCATATGCTCAGCTAATTTTTTATATATTTTGTAGAGATGGGGTCTCCCTATGTGGCCGAGGGTGGTCTCATACTCCTGGCTCAAGTGATCCCCTCACGTCAGCTTCCCAAACTGCTGAGATTACAAGCATGAACTATCATGCCCAGCCACAGTGGTGAAAGTAAACATGAGAGTTACAAGTACAGAGATGCAGAAATTAGTATGGAATCAATTCCACCACCGATAGTAAACGCTAGCAAGTGTTCAAAAAAATATATTGTCAGTCACCAAGTGAGCCCCTACACCATGTGCTCGATACCGGGTTAGGCTCGGGAATGAACAACAGAGTCAGTCCCTGACTGCTGAAGAACTTACAATCTCGTGAATATGATCACACAAAAAGTAGAAGTGTAAATAAAAGTATGGGAAATACAACAACATATACTTAAGGGAATCATCTCAGCCTGATAGCAGAGTTCAAGCTCACAACTCTAAAGTACTGAAAATGTAAAAATAACATCTTACCTGGAAACCACTTGTTTGTGGACATTTTCCCACTGCTCAGGATCTTTATCAGTTCCTATATCTGGGTTCAGATCCTTCAGAGGGACACCAGCAATGTTCACACCACTCCACACAGGAACTAAGAAAGAGATACCCGAAAATCCGCTTCTTATATGGTATTAGCAGGGTTTTGGTTTTTGACGTTAGCAAAATTGTTATAATTGCCCTGAGTGGTTTTCAACTAGGAATGTTCAAAATATCTGAGCCCCACTCCAGATATTCTAAATCCAGATCTCCAGAGATGGGATCCACAATTCTATCATCTTGGCAAAGATTCTCCAAATAAGAAAGTTGCAGTTTTAAACTTTCCACTAGGAAGTTTTAATTTTTCTCCCTTTAAGTCTTTTTCCATAGTCAAGGTTTACATTAAATAGATTTCAAAAGTTTTTAGCCAGAGACATTGAGGGAGGGGAAAGGACTGCTATTACCACAGCACTCTTTCTCTTTCCTTTTATATTCTTCAGTTGTACCCATCCCTTAATCTGAAGAATGCCTACTACTTGAAGTACACTGCTGACCTTTCTGGAGTGTCCCAAATTAAATACAAACTATATCATGTTACTTAGTTCTCTATTTAAGAAAAGCATTATAATCTTAGCCATCCATATGTAGGATTATAGTGTCAATGTCACATTTTTCAAATCTGCATTTTTTTGTTGGTTATTTTAAAAATAATAAGTGTGGTAAAAGTTAAGCACTACTAAAAGGGCCTAAAGTGGAATAAAGTCTTTTCTCCCCTCCCAGGAGCCACTTTACATTAATTGTCTATATGATAGGAAATACGGATTTCAGAGAACATGCAGGGCTCAGTCGTGCTTCAGGCTTACCACTTGAGTCACCGTGCTCTCCGAGGACCAGCCCATGACAGCTTTCAGAGTGGATGCCAAGCCTTTGCCCAATAAAGTAACGAAAACGAGCAGAGTCCAGATTACAGCCACTTCCAATAACACGGTTTTTGGGAAATGCACTCAATTTCCAGGCTACGTAAGTTAAGATATCCACTAAGAAGAACAAGTTCTTATCAAGAAATGTTCCCATCTACAAGGATACATTTTTTAGATTTACCTAAAACTAGTCAATCTGATATTTCATGGAGGGGGCAAGAAACATGGTTCTCTATCCAACCCCAGCTATACCCCAACTCTAAAAATATCTACCAAATAGAAGTAATGAAAAACCTTTTTGTTGCTACTTTGCATAGCTTGGTATGCAGAAACACAGAATGTTCACGCCATGGAAAATTCTAAGAAACATTACAGTCTCTTACCACATCTTTCAAATAATTTTTCTCAGAGAATAAACCATTTTCAACAAAAAAGAGGAACAGAAAAAAAAAAAAACAAGTATAAACCCCAGCCCCATGGGAGGCAGAGGTGGAAGGATCCCTTAAGGCCAGCAATCATTTGAGACCAGCCTAGGCAATATAGCAAAACTGTGTCTCCAAAAGGAAAAACAATTAACCAGGCGTGGTGCCATGTGCCTGTTGTCCCAGCTCCTTGGGAGGCTGAGACAGGTGGAACACATCAGCTCAGGAGATCAAGCCTGCAGTGAGCTACAATTACACCACTGCACTCCAGCCTGGGCAACAGAGCAAGACCAAGACCGACTCTGTCTCTTAAAAAAAAAAAAATTTTTTTAAAGAATTGGCAGGGAAACATAATCAGGCTTTCGTCCCATTAGGGAAGGGATAAATTTTTGACACAGTCTGATATTTTAGTGTCAATTATTTTAAACATTAGTATATAATTGTATATAATGTATATTATACACTAGTGGGGATAGAGATAATATGTATATATTATATATCTTATACATTAATGAGAATATATAATGTGTTATCTATATAATTCTCATTAACGTATAAAAGATACATAATATATAAAACAATGCAACAATATTTATAAAACTATAAATTTATACATAATAATATAGCCCCAAGGCCGACCACAGTGGCTCATGCCTGTAATCCCAGCACTTTGGGAGGCTGAGGCAGGCGGATCACCAGGTCAGGAGATTGAGACCATCCTGGCCAACATGGTGAAACCCCATCTCTACTAAAAATACAAAGAATTAGCTGGGCATGGTGGCACACATCTGTAGTCACAGTTACTCTGGAGGCAGAGGCAGGAGAATCGCTTGAACCCAGGAGGTGGAGGTTGCAGTGAGCCGAGATCGTGCCACTGCACTCCAGGCTCGGTCTTGTTTTTATGGCAGATTTAAGTATTCACTTAAGTAGTAGAAACTAGACACTTTAAAAAAGATATGAAAATGATGTCTTTCGTTGTCTAGAACATAGTGTTTTCTAAATATGTAGTATTTCTATTAACAAAGTTAGAGCTTCTGTTCCCTTTTTAATACTCATTAATGGTAAGAAGTGAGGCTGGGCGCAGTGGCTCACGCCTGTAATCCCAGCACTTTGGGAGGCAGAGGCAGGTGGATCACGAGGTCAAGAGATCAAGACCACCCTGGCCAACATGGTGAAACCCCTTCTCTACCAAAAATACAAAACAAAATTAGCTGGGCATGGTGGCACACACCTGTAGCTCAGCTACTCAGGAGGCAGAGGCAGGAGAATCGCTTGAATCCAGGAGGCAGAGGTTGCAGTAAGCCGAGATCATGCCACTGCAGTCCGGCCTGTCGACAGACTGAGACTCCATCTCAAAAAAAAAAAAAAAAAAAAAAAAAGTGATACAGAAACAGTTTGATCATACCACAATTTAAAATGGTAAGCATTCATTCTAATACCTGAGATGGACAGAAGTATGTGTAGAAATGTCTAAGTTTCCTCACACATAAAGCTATCAAGTGAAAAACAATTCATCATGCTGGGTCTTATGAGGTTCGTCAAGGCCGGGCACCGTGGCTCATGCCTGTAATCCCAGCTTTTAGGGAGGCAGAGGTGGGAGGACAGCTTGAGCCCAGGAGATCGATACCTGCCCAGACAATATAGTGAGACCCTGTTCTCCACAAAAAGAAAAACAGAAAAAAAAAAAAAAGGTTTGTCAACTGCCACTGAAATGCAAGGGGTTTGGAGGTCCCTCCATCAGTCCCTGGGTCTGGAACTGAGAATGTGGCCTGTTTTAATTGGTAAACTGAAGACAGAGCAAGTAACTCAGCTGTATCCTGGGGTACCAGCCGCATTTCCTAAATGACTATAGAGTTGAAGGAAAGGTTAAACTTTTCCTAAATCTTCGATCTTCACTTGTTTCAGTCCTCTTCCTGTATTATTTTACATCCCCTCCCTTACCATACTGCCCTCTAAATTTTCCATTTTTCACTTCTATTTGGCCAGTTAGTTCAGGTAAATAATTAGTTATTAGAACTTTTTAATTTGTAAACATTCTTAAATACTCATAAATCAATAATGGAAAATCTCAAGCCATTCTGGGTAGATTTCTTTTTGAATTTTTTTTTTTCTTAAGTAGAGACAGGCTTTCGCCATTTTGCCCAGGCTGGTCTTGGACTCCTGGGCTCAAGCAGTCCTCCCGCCTCAGCCTCCCAGTGCTGGGATTGCAGACATGAACCATCATGACCAGCCTCATTCTGAATAGTTTTGAAATTAATACCTAGTATTTGTTATGTCTTGAGCTACACATTTCCACAGTAGTAACCTAGAATGCTATTTTAAAGTAATGTCAATAGTGTGTTATTTATAACTGAACTAAGATCTGGATGCAATTCTTTTTTTACAGGAAAAAAAAAAAAAAAAAAAAACCTGGCTAGGTGTGGCTGTTCATGTCTGTAATCCCAGCACTTTGGGAGGCCAGGGCAGGCAGATCACTTGACGCCAGTTCAAGACCAGCCTGACCAACATGGTAAAACACCATCTGTACTAAAAATATGAAAATTAGCCAGGTATGGTGGCACGTGCCTGTAATCCTAGCTAGTCAGGAAGCCGAGGCATGAGAATTGCTTGAACCTGGAAGGCAGAGATTGCTCCACTGCACTCCATCCTGGGTGACAGACTGTCTCAAAAAAATATTATCATTCAGGGGAAAAACTTTCCTGAGTGGTATCAATGTTTGGTAGCTTAATAATATTAATTCAAAGTTACCAGTTTTTGTTTTTGTTTTTTTGTATCAGAAGAGTAATGAAGTTGTTTCTCTTAACTTTTGAAGCACCTTACTGAAATTTTAAAGATGGTTCCTAGTGAACCATCTTAACAGACTCACTAAAATAATGGAGAAGATTTTCTTCACATTTCTAGTATCAGAAAAAGTATTTTAAATAGATACAGAAGATATATTTGATAGCATGTACTATAACTATGTGCACTGTCAAGCAAATATAGAACTAAGCTGTATTTGAGACTGAGATTAGGATTATTTTTCCTCATTTTTTGCACCTCTTAATGGCAAGCAGGCCAGTATATAAAATGCAGAAAAAATCCTCTGAATGTGCTTATTAGAAATATTAGTTAATGAGGCCGGGCGTGGTGGCTCACGCCTGTAATCCAAGCACTTTGGAGGCCAACGCAGGTGGATCACCTGAGATCAGGAGTTCAAGACCAGCCTGACCAACATGGTGAAAACCCGTCTTTATTTAAAAAAATAATAATAATGAATATTCTTTAACAGACTTCTGCCATAACGCATAGGGAAGCATCTCTTGCTAACGTACACTGCTAAAATCTGCAGTGTGAATGTGGTAAGCCCATTAATGTTGCCAAGCAAGTGATGCTTAATTCGTGTTTCCTAATTTACCATATAACCTTAGTCACATGGTACTTTGAGGATGAAGGCTTTTTGGTGCAAATTAAAACAAAGTAGGTTGGGGATTCATTTAACACAAACACTAAATGTCAACTTAACTGTCCCCACAGACTTCAGTGCCCTGAGTGGTTAGAGAAATTAATGACGGAGCTCTGTCAGGTGCTTCACAACTCTCAGTCAGGTCAGAATCTCTCCACAGCTCTCATTTCAAAAATGATACCGTCAGATTTCAGGATGTGGAAAAACTTACTGGAAAGTGTGTTAGAAAATATAAAATATGTCTGGGCCCAGTGGCTCACGCCTGTAATACCAGCATTTTGGGAGGCTGAGGCGGGTAGATCATGAACTCAAGAGATCGAGACCATCCTGGCCAACATGGTGAAACCCCATCTCTACTAAAAATTCAAAAACATTAGCTGGGCGTGGTGGCACATGCCTGTAGTCCTGGCTACTCGGGAGGCTGAGACAGGAGAGTTGCTTTAACCCAGAAGGCGGAGATCGCAGTGAGTGGAGATCATACCACCGCCCTACAGCCTGGGCAACAGTGTGAGGCTCTGTCTCAAAATAAAATCAAATACTATTATACAATATGATAATGTATCATCAGCTTGTTATTCTCAGTGTGCTTCCTTGTAGGGTCAGACTACCATTTCCGAATTTTGGATTTGGTATTTTTTCAGTTAAAGAATTAAACTCTAAAGCACAAATGCTTATGCCAATAGCCTGTATGAAAGAACATTTATGTGAAAGCTAAAGATATGCATGCAGTTAAATATACAAATAAATATCTCATACCATGAAAAAGGAACTTTTGATAATCTACAAACTATTTTAAAAAAGAAAAAACAGAGCCTCAAACTTGTGGGACACCATTAAGCACACCAATATGCATGTATGATAGCACCAGGAGGGGAGGACAGAGCAGCAGAAAAATTATTCCAAGAAGTAACAGCTGAAACTTCCCAAATAGAAAAGCATTAATCTATACATCCAAACTGGGCACAGTGGCTCACACCTGTAATCCCGGCACTTTGGAAGGCTGAGGTGGGCGGATCACTTCAGGTCAGGAGTTCAAGACCAGCCTGACCAACATGGTGAAACCCTGTCTCTCCTAAAAATACCAACAATTAGCTGGGAGTGGTGGCGAGTGCCCATAATACCAGCTACTTGGGAGGCTGAAGCAGAATTGCTTGAACTTGGGAGGCAGAGGTTGCAGTGAGCCGAGATCGCACCACTGCACACCAATCTGGGTGAAAGAGCAAGACTCCATCTCAAAAAAAGTAAAATCTATACATCCAAGAAGCTCAATTAATTCCAAGTGGTATAAACTTAAAGAAATTCACACTTAGACACATCATAGTCAAATTGTTCACAGCCAAAGAGAAAATACTGGAAATAGCAAGAGAAAAACAACTTATCAAATATAAAAGAACCAAAATAAATCAGCCCCAATCCCCATCAAAATCCTCGCTAGTTTTATTTCAGAAATTGACAAGCTGATTCATAAATTATATGGGAATGCTAAGGATCCAGACAAGCCAAAATAATTTTTTTTTTGAGACAGAGTCTTGCCCTGTCGTCCAGGCTGGAGTGCAGTAGTGCGATCTCAGCTCACTGCAGCCTCTGCCTCCCAAGTTCAAGCGATTCTCCTGCCTCAGCCTCTGAAGTAGCTAGGATTACAGGTGTACACCACCATGCCCAGCTAATTTTTGTATTTTAGTAAAGACAGGGTTTTGCCATGTTGGCCAGGCTGGTCTCAAATTCCTGACCTCAGGTGATCTACCTGCTTCCGCCTCCCAAAGTCCTGGGATTACAGGCATGAGCCACCACGCTTGTCCCAAGATAATTTTAAAGAACAGTCAGAGGACTTAACACGTCCCGATTTTAAAACTTACCACAAAGACACAGTAATCAACATATTTATAAATTCTGTGGAGTGAGCTTCATAAGTTAAATATGAAAGAAGATGGAGAAAAATTTATGTAGTAACAAAAAGCTGTAAAGCATAAAAAATGTAAATGGTTACCTATAAAGGGATGGAGGCTACAGGGAAAAGGGCACAAGGAAGGAACCTGGACCACTTGAATCATTACTGTTCTTGATTTGATGTTGGAGCCATGTGAATATTTTATAAAACTGTGAAACAAAATTTCAATAGTTCCTCAGTATCAAAACTGAAATGAATAAACAGTCATGCACTCACTCAGTTTCGGTCTGCACAGAGAAGAACTGTTCCAAATGATTTCAGAATACAGTAATTTCAATATCCCTAAACTACTATGCTCCAGACTCAATCTCTAGCTGTTTAACATTTCCTCTTGAGTACTTTTTCAAATACCCTGATTTTTCTCCTCTATATGTAACATCCCCTCCAACTTCCCCGACTCCCACCTGATCGGTAAATTTACTAACCCAGTTAAATGGAACTACCATCTATTCAGTTACTCAAAGGAAAAATCTAGAAGTTATTTTGTATTCCTCCCTTTCCCTCACTACACATAATCTACTTTCTCACCAAAGTCTATCTTGAGTTGGTCCACCTTGCACATGCACCAGTGAGGAGTCTAGTACAATTTTGGAGAGTCAACTATAGCACTGTTTTCACTTTGCAAACAGTAATTTGGAAAACAAACAGCACGTAAACCTTGAAGTCATATGATTAAGCATAGTACCTTCCCATACACACTACTATATATATATTTATATATATATATTTTTTGTTTGTTTTTTTGAGACGGGGTCTCACTCTGTCACCCGGGCTGGAGTGCAGCCTTGACCTCCCTGGCTAAAGCAATCCTCCCACCTCAGCCTCCCGAGTAGCTAGGACTACAGGTGCTCACCACCGTGTCCTGATAATTTTTGCATTTGTTTTAGAGATGGAGTTTTGTCATGTTGCCCAGGCTGGTCTCAAACTCCTGAATTCAAGCACTTCACCCACCTTGGGCTCCCAAAGGGCTGGGATTATAGGCATGAGCCACTGTACCTGGCCTCACACTAGTATTTTTTAAAAGTGATCCTAGTATATTTACTGATTATAACTGTGCAAAGTACCTACTTCACTAACAAAACAGAAAGATTCTGGAATTACATTGGTAGTTTATGATTTAATACTCATTATTTTTCTCTTCAAAGTTATTAAACCCACCCCCAAAAACTCCTTCACTCAACAGTGAAGACAAAGCTGACCTATGCAGCCATAAAGAAACAAAATCACGTCCTTTGCAGCAACGTGGATGCAGCTGGAGGCCACTATTCTAAGCTAATCAGTACAGGAAAAGAAAACCAAATACCACATTGTTCTCACCTATAAGTGGGAGCTAAACATGCGGGTACACACGGACATAAAGATGGGAACGACGGACACTGGAGACTACTAGACAGGGCGGGAGTGAGGGCGGCAAGGGTTGAAAACTATTAGGTACTACGCTCACTACCTGGGGGCATGATTAATCTTACCCCAAACTTTCGCATCATGCAAAATACCCACATAATGAACCTAACACGGTGTACCCCCAATTCTAAAAGCTGAAAATTTACAAACAACAAAGCTGACCTGGATTAGTAACAATAAGCAGTTTGCAGTGAGGACTGTATTGGGTAATACTGGGAATTATTAATTTAAAGATGGACACATTTCGCTGGACTAAATCAAGGCGTGTTTCTCCTTTTTTCTGGCGTGCACCTGCCGTGATAATAACTAGATTGGAGTTTGCAGTGACCAGGTAATCTGGGGAAAGATCCGAAGAAAAAATAGATTATGAAAGAAAACATCAGACATTTAAGTATACTTCCTGTTTACTTCAGTCACCACACTATGTTTACCAAAGAGTTCCCTTCAATATTCTAGAATGCCCAGACTACTTTTTAATTTCAGGAAATTAGTACTAAGTTTCCCTTGTTTTGTTTTTTTTGTTTGTTTTTTTAATTAAAGCCTAAGCCAGGTTCTTTGGCTCACGTCTGTAATCCCAACACTTTGGGAGGCCGAGGCAGGTGGATCAGTTGAGGCCAGGAGTTCAAGACAAGCCTGGTCAACATGGTGAAACCCCATCTCTATTAAAAGTGCAAAATTTAGCCGGGCACAGTGGTGGACATCTGTAGTCCCAGCTACTCAGGAGGCTGAGGCAAGAAAATCACTTGAACCCGGAGGCAGAGGTGGCAGTGAGCCAAGATCATACCATGACACTCCAGCCTGGGTGACAGAGCGAGACTCCATTTCCAAAAACAAAAACCTCCTAAGTTGGGTGCAGTAGCGCACACCTGTAGTCCCGGTTACTTCTAGGCCGAGACCAAGAGGATCGCTTGAGCCCAGAAGTCCATGTCTTTTTAAAAAA